TTGTCGCTCCTCTCTCTCTCTCTCTCTCTCTCCTGCCTTCTCGAGGAGAGAAACGCTTGATCCTTCGCGTACTCTTCTCGCTTTACCACACCCTTCCCCCCCCCCCAGTGGCGAACGTGCAACTTTTCACTTAGCCCCCCGATAAAAAGTTGGCTGATCCAATATAACCTCTACATCGCCTATCCTCGATTCCTCTTCCTCCATCTTTCCGCGTAATTCTTGCTGTCAACAGTGGAATACTCACCGCCTGTCACGCGACACGTCAAGGAAGGGGTGTCACCCTCCTCGTAGGGGCCCGCCGTCCCGTTCACTATCCTCCCCCACTGGTCCAGAATGGTGGGCTGTTCCGGGGGCACTGGAACAGACAGAGAGAGGAAGGGAAGAAAAAAGAAAATTCTCGAGGAAATTTATATATATATATCGAGTAGAAAGCAACGGCGCAACTTTATCGACGGTGGATCGAGTAGTCGAAACGGTTTGGGTTAAAAGGTGAAAGGACTTTCGAAACGATCGATCGCCTCGCCTCGCCTCGTGGAAATGTGTAAAAAGTGATTTCTCTCGGCGAGAAGGCGAGATTTTTTTCGTTCGAAAAAATTCTGCGTAACCGTCGCTACGAATCGTTCCCGGATTAAACGGGAAACGATATTTTTTTGCCCGGGAATATTTCTCTAGGTATTTCTCTCTCCGCTTCCCTCCCCGTTATTCTGCCCAACTTGTTATTTGGCCGCACATACGTCCAACACGTTACGTTTACTGTTCGACGCTTTATCAGCGAGGGTTTACCGCGAGAACGCACCTACACACCCTTTTTTATCCCTCTCCCCTCGTTATCATCCTAGATAGATAAGTTCTATTCCATGGAGTGGAAAACTTGTATTTCTATATTCTATTCTGGTCGAAATATTTTTATTTACACATCGATATTATTACATCGCGATATTAAAAGTTTTCCCCGTCCCGTCCACCTCTTTCTCGACCAAACTTCGAGAAAGCTTCACGAGCTTTCACGAACTTTGTTGCTACATGGAATTCATAATTAACGGTGGAGGGAAGGAAGAAAACGGCGAGATTTTTCTCTTCCTCTTCTTCCTTCCTCGAATATTTTAAAAATATCCATGTATGCAAGACACTTCGATACGAGGAAAACGAAGCTCGGAAAAACGTATTGTTGATCGCGCGTTATTTTCATTCCTTTCTCTCTCTCTTCCATCGTGATTTTTCGGCTAACATCGGCCGAATCGTCGGCCGATACACCGCGTATATCGAATGTTGTTCGAAGCCAAAAAATGTACAGGCTGGAATCGTGATTCTTTTTTTTTCTTTTTTTTAGAACTTCGTTTCACCGATTTTGGTGGAAAAATAACGGAGAGAAGAGAGAGAGAGAGGAAATATCCGATAGGTTGGCAAAACGATTATCGGAGGACGAATTTTTGAAGGTTTCGCGGATCGATGGCAGTAAGATCGGTGGTCAGTCAAAAAATTGCCTTAAGCGGATATCCGGTTATTCGATTCTGTTCGAGGGAAAAAACTAGGAGGACGATCGAGCCTCGCAAGTCGTAAACTGCGCCAAATCCGAAAATAACGTTACGGTTCTTGCCGATCGAGATATATATATTCGCCTAAGCTTCTTCCGCGAATCGTAAATTCCGATCGAGAGGAAACTGGAGATTAAAACGATCCATCCATCCATCCCGTGTTATAAACGGGAATTTAATAATCTCTCTCCTATTTAAACACGATCGAGCCGAGGAAGAAATTCCTCTTTTCTTTCCTTTGAAAACAGATCTCATCGAAAATTCTGAAATTTTGCGGAACGATTTAAATTTCAATCGGTCGAGGCTGAATCGTAGCAACGCGTGCTCCCTCTTCTTGCGAGCAAGGGGGGGGGGGGGAAGAAATAGGTGGAGGGATCGATAGACGGATTGTAAAGCGGTTTAATCAAGCACCGAAGGATTCGGGCAAATTCAATTCTCCTGCAAACTCTCCGTTGAAAACTCGTTTCCTATGACCGCGATCAAATTTTATCCCTGCTTTGCCCCGTGTGTAACGCACGCGTGTAAAAAGTATTCGTGTGTCGGTCGTTTTTCAATCCATAATTGCCGGTATCGATGAAAAAGCAGAGCAGAATTCGCTCCATGCGCGTCGCAACCAATCAATTGATCGATCACGTCCTTCGGATCGGTGTCGAGTCCTGGGTACACTAGGCGCGCCACGCGCGGATTTCCAGATGGGGGGAAGGAAAAAAAAAAAGAAAAAGAATCAGAGACGAGAAATAAAATAGCGAAATTTCTTTAAACATCACTCGAGATTATTAGGGATGCTTCTTTCGAAATTACACGATTGGCAAGAATTCTCGAACAACGCTATTCCCCGATAGATAGATAGATAGACTCGATAAAATGGTCGAATGCGGGGAGACGTTGGGGGGGGATGAAGCACCGACAAGAGAGAGGGAGGCGAAAGATGTAGATGTAGGGGGTTGTAATGGCAATTACCAGTGGTAATCAATGGACCTCGCTCAGACCTGTGCCGATAATTTCAGGGCTGGATGGAAAATAGGCACCCCCTGTGCAGCATAGCTGCGCGTATATCTGAGGCTGCCCTCGCTTCACGCGTATCCACCGTTACCAACGATGGCCATTCCATTCTCTCCCTCCGCCCCTTTCTCTCTGACGGCCAATTTAGTCGCGCACACAGCTTTGCGTGCATCACCTTGACCGTCTCTCTCTCTCTTTCTCCATTTTAAACTCGTGCTCGACCGATTTGACAGATTTAATCTGTTTATGATAAATTTAACGGGCAATAAAGCTTCTTCTTCGGTTTAAGTGAGAGGGAGGTTTCCGAATTGGATCGATTCGTTTATTCAAATTTAAATACGTGAAATATGAAGAAGATGTCTCCCAAGCTTCCCCTGGAAATTTCCCAGAAATTGTAACAACTAGAAATTGAGCTGCTTTATCAATCAATCAATCTAACTTTCGACTCGATTTGATAGTAAACTTCAACGCAGCAAAGGGTTAAAAAAAATCCAATGTATTCCAATCTTTTTTCCCTCCAATTTATACATATAAAACAATCGATCGAAACGAAGCTAAATCGATCGGATAGGATAAACGAGAGAAAAATCCGAGTATTTTAATTTCGAGCGTTTCCGATTTAAAGGTGGAATAATGCTCGAGTTATTCGATGGAGGAGAGCAAAAAAAAAATGGCACGTATGCGTGTAGAGAGAAAGGAATGCCGTGCGCCGCAATTTTAATTGAGTTAATTCGAGGGCCGCCTCGTATATCCGTGGATCGTTCTCAGAATCCGATTCTATTCTGAGCGCGGAAGCGTGGACAATCTCTCTCTCTCTCTCTTTTCTTTTTTCACGCAGCGGAACAGGGCCGCACACAATCGTTACTTTCGTAGCGTCCACGAAATTGCGCGGGAGAAGGAGGAGGAGGAGGAGGATCGCGTTGTGGAAAATTAGCACGGAGCGACGAATGGGAACGTTTATTTCGGGAACCGCATTGCGTGCATCCGAGAAAATGCGGTTTGCCAACTTTATCTCCTTCCTTCCTTCCTTTTTTCTCCTTTCTTGAGGACAGACAGAGGTTCGAGAATTGGAATTGTATTAGCCGGATCGAGAGGAATTAAAAAAAAGGGGTGGGGAGGAGTGCAACGACTCGCGATTCGAATTTTCAATCACGCGAAATACAATTGAACGATTAAAAAAATATGCAACGCGCTCGAGGGATTATTATTTCGGGAAAATTTAATACGGATCAGGATCGGCGCGATTATTGGGATTATTGGCCCTCATTTGTTTCGACATTAACGTCACGTGGAATTCTTACGTGGAAGTTTTTACGGCTGTTGATTAACCGATCGATCGAATTTTTCGTCCGATGAGAGAAGAACGATGTAGCATCTCGCGTATCGGTCGATGCATGTATTACCATACGGTTTCACGGTAGATTCGCGCGATGGAAGTCAATTGGCAGTTGCCTATTGAGAGAAACGGCGCATCGACGGGTAGGAGAGCTATTAAGTCAGACAACTGTGTTAAATTTCAAGGGGGAACGGGCTCTCCCCCCCCCCAATAGTAATAGGCGAGCAGAAACATTATCGTAAGTGGCGAGAGGACGGCCCAGCTTTAAGATCCGACGGGGTAGAAATTGGTAGTGGATTCTCTCTCTCTCTCTATCTTCGCTCCATTGATCTTGGGCTTTGATCAACCCCGTGAACGACCGGTCTTCCGCTCCGCTTTTCAAATATTTAAGGACCTGCCCCGAATTAAATGGACGCCCGCCACGCTCCAATTAATCGGCCGCCACGAAATTTTAAATAATCGAATCCGCTTGTGAAAACATCCGCGGCGACGATGGAAACGGCCGAAAATAAAGCGAAATCGATCCTCCCGTGGTGGAGAAAAATCGTTGAAGGGACGACCCACTGACCCAAGCAACCGAGAACAGAGGTGGGAATCGGTTATCGAGATGCTCGCATCTTCGCTCGAGAATTTCGAGATTCGCTTATTATTCGCTTCCTCCAAATTGCGAAACGATCCTCCGGGGAGGAGGATCTCGATCTCGAGGTAAGTCGTCAATTAAAACGTTTTCTTCTTTTTCATTATTCATCGGCGGTCACGGCGGGCACGGTTTTTACGATTTATGGAATACACTTCCGCATAATAATTATAGCGCCATTGGTCGCTGCTGCTCGATCGAACGATTCTTTATTTGCATTTTTATTGTTCCACGGGCCTGTACCTGTGTCGGGGGGGGGGGGGGGAATCGAGCGACCAACGGAATAACAAATGCGCCGTTAAAATAAACGGTTTAATAAATACCTCGCTGCTGCCTGCGAAATATTTCTCTACATTTTCGTAACCCTCCTCTCCTTCCCCTCTTATTCGTTCTATCGTTCTAGATTTTTACGTAGCGAGAAGAGGAAAGAAGAAGGAAGAAGGAAATTCGTTATCGAGAATATCTCGTCTCCTCGATTTCCACATCCACAACGATTACTCCGTGCACAGAGACGCGCGTGCAGCGCGGCCATCGTTCTTGCAAAATACGACGACTTTTACTATACACTCTGAGACACTCTTGCCGTCTCCTCTTCCTTTCTCCCCTTCCGGCGAATCTTATGGATTATCCTCTCGCGCGACCATCTCCAAAGGAACACACCGATCGAGAAAGCGAGAGGAGAGAAATTCTGTCCGGATAAAAATTCCCTTCGATTACGGCACGAGTTGCACCCAGCCACGCGTTGCGGCGACGTGTTTCGAGATTATCGTTCGTAGTAAGTCGATTGCAAGCATTTTTCTCGATTAACGATCCCGAAATTGTTCCCTTCCCGATTGACGTTGAAA